CAGTGCAGGCTTTTCGCTACAAAGTCCAAACTCGTGAAAGCTTTTCAATCCTTCAAATACAACACGTATAATGCACTGTGTCTGAAGGTAGACTAGTGGTTAGTGTTAAAATGCTTAACTTTTCTTGAGAACACGTCTCTGATTGGTTACGTAACCTGTTAATGAAGTAATCATGTAATAGTGTAATCAAATCTCGTCACAATCTTACATTACTGTGGGAAGTGATCAGGGCGGGGACCACATCTGTTTAAATTCGCCTCTGGGTATAACGAACAAAGACGAAGCAGAACTTCTACACACGTCACGGGGATCTGCCATTCCTGCTCTCTGTTGACAATCTGTCCCGTTGTTTACTCAAATCTTTAATCCCGCTTTGTGTTAACACATATTAAGTAAGCATCTGTCGCCAATCAGAAGGTGCGCATCTCAACACAGTGCCAAGACTGGGACACAAAGGTCAATTGGCCTGTATCTACCTCTGTCGACTTTCAAGTGCGCGGCCATGTTGTTACGTCATAATACATCGCCTGCTCCGGTGAGACAATAAACGGTTTTCGTTATCACCAGAACGAAGCTGTGATTTCTCATCGAGGCATGAGAAAACCAAACCTGAAATATATCCACCATTACTGCTCGTCAAACATCAGCTCTTCGTCTGGTCACATGTCGTCTGCTTCTCCCGCGTTAATTACAGTAAAGCTGTACAGTGAAATGACAAGCCACTGACTATCTCAAGGATCGCCGCGCCGCATTTGATCCTGGCAGATCTGACACTGACAGGCTTTGATGTAAATGCTATTACCTGATTACGTACTGTGGATAATGCATCCTGGCCCATCAGACCCAACCAGGCCCTCCTCGTGTAGCGTCATTGATCGTGATGTGTCCAAGGCCGTGGAGTCCACAAATGTCAGGCAGGTGGACAGGAAGCTGTAAATGTAGAGCAGTGTAAATGGTAAAATTTGCTTTACCAAAGTGTGTGTTTTTTTATCATGGTAAAGGCATTAAAAGACATTCTGGCCATCCAACGACTCCAGTCGCGAGGCTACACCAACTCTAAATCTCTTGAAAGGGAAATGTATAGTTTTCTCCGAATCGAATTGGTTATGTATTATATAGAACGTTTAAAGGGTGTGGGTGGGGTGGGGTGGGGTGTTGGTTGCATAAAAAAATGGCGTGGCGAAAGATGGGGTTCACCATATCCGTAACTATAAGGGTGGAAAGGTGGTAGAGGTGGGATAGCCGGGTCATTGGTTAGCTCTTTCTTGGGTCAAATTTCTCAACTAAAACTATTAAGAATTGGAAATTATTTAGCAGTGGGTGGAGATGTAGTGTATGGGGCGCCCATTGTATAATGGAGTCCAAAGGCCAATCTAGGAAATCTACCTTTGTACGCCCCGTTTACCACTAGACTGAGATCTTGTCTCCTGAAATGAACACAGTATGCAGAAAACAACAGTTCCAAAATTAGATTAATAAAATACAGTAAAAAGGTGATTTTATTCATCCCTGATACTGTGGTAATCTGGACTTCAGCGTCTTCAGCTTCAACTGATGCTTTTCTTCCCTGGACGTTCCGGTTTAAAATTGGTCTTTAAAAATAGTAAGCCATGCTTCCATGTTCATCACCCCATGCTGGTCCTTAACGAGACCCGTGAAGATCCAGGTTGGAATTGATCTTCAGTAACCCATGCTTGTCGTAAGAGGTGACTAACGTGGTCGGGTAGTGAGGCTCGCTGACTTGGCTGACACATATCATGCATAGCGACTATGCATGAATACGTATATCACATCCGTTCCCATTTGTGTAGATCGATGCTCATGCTGTTGATCACTGGATTGTCTGGTCCAGACTCGATTATTTACAGACCGCCGCCATATAGCTGGAATGTTGCTGAGTGTGGCTTAAAACTAAACTCACTCACTCACTAACGAGACCGTGTGGTCATGCTCGCAGAGTTGGTTGATTCATGATGTGAATCACTGGATTGTCCAGACTCGACTGTTTACAGACCCCTGACACATAACTGAAATATATCTGAGTGCGGCGTTAGACAACAGACGTAAACGAGGATGAAGACGTTCCGTATGTGAGTCACCAGCTCTAGTTGAAGAATTGCATTAGATATTCCACTGTGAATCATACTTCCTTGAGCCATGTCTCGTATAAAACATAGGTTCTAAACTGCATCATCCTGAATCATTGAATCCATAATTCACATCTGAATAATTCTGTGAGTCCGTTCGTATTTATTACATCAAGGTCCGTTTTGCTAATATCGAGAAACCGCTTCTCTGATGAGTCTCTGAACTCTCGCATTACCGTAATTCTGATTAAACAGGTATTACCCTTCTGTCTCCTAATGTAATAACTAAAGTAAATCGAACTCTGATTAAACCACTTTTTGTATTACCCCAATGAATGCGTATAGATCAAAGGCAATCTTATCCAGTCGTCCAAGCGTTCTGTCCGGAAAATACGAATTCCTAGTTTTATAGTCTCATTGTGTAGATTCCGATACAATGATACATTCTGTTGAGAAAATCAATATCAATCATTTCACAGCTTGATATTGAACCCAACTCGTGTATACTACGTCGGTCGATATATTCAAATTATCCATTTCTGTTTTATAATTAGATCTCTATTTTTAACCGGTGCCACGAGAGTCCATCTTTACTGACGTTGAACTCGTTCCTTCTCAACGATAAGGAAAGTGTTTCAGAATACATGAATACGTGTTAATTGAACTGGATACAAGTATGACATTCCGTATCTTATGGTGCTCGAACGCTCATTAACATGACATCTTTGTAAATTAATTATCCGTGTTGCAGAAACTCGGGTTCCTGAGCACCTGATGAATTCTGCTTTATTGTCCGACACATTTCTTACACAAACAGCAGTTTTAACTGACTGCAACTTTTTTGAAGTAAGAATTTCTCAAATAGATAATGTTTTCAGCATGCGCCTTGAATCAGGTGTGACACGTTGATCATGAGCCAAGACACCGTATACCTCACTGTGTAACGGTATATAGCCAAAACGCAACGTACACTTAGCGACTATGCATGAATACGTATATCACTACGACAACTCCTAAATACATGTGTACGTATATCACTACGAATACTTCTAAATACATGTGTACGTATATCACTACGAATACTTCTAAATACATGTGTACGTATATCACTACGACAACTCCTAAATACATGTGTACGTATATCACTACAAATACTTCTAAATACATGTGTACGTATATCACTACAAATACTTCTAAATACATGTGTACGTATATCACTACAAATACTTCTAAATACATGTGTACGTATATCACTACGACAACTCCTAAACACATGTGTACGTATATCACTACGACAACTCTAAATACATGTGTACGTATATCACTAAATACATGTGTAATGTCACTACAAATAAAATACATGTGTACGTAGATCACACTACGAACGTACGTATACGAATACTTCTAAATACATGTGTACGTATATCACTACGAATACTTCTAAATACATGTTCGTAATCACTACATACATGTAAATGTACGTATCACTACGACAACTCGTAAATACATGTGTACATGTCACTACAAATTCTTCAAAATACATGTGTACGTAGATCACTACGAATACTTCTAAATACATGTGTACGTATATCACTACGACAACTCCTAAACACATGTGTACGTATATCACTACAAATGCTTCTAAATACATACGTATATCACTACAAATGCTTCTCAGTACACCAACACCTTATTTAAACACAATCTCTTCGTTCTTTTATATGATGTTCCTGCAATCCATGTGCACCTTCACTCTGTTCCTAAGGACAGCACCATTGGCTACACTGTATAATCATACGTCAGCAACCTATGACGTATACCAATTTGCTTTGGTCGTGCTCATGCTTTGTCCTCCTATGCCTATTCATCCTTCTTCTCCCCAAATGCTCCCCCCCCCCCCTTTCTGATCCGTCTATGCCTGTTCCTCCTCTAATATATTTTCTCCTTCTTCTCCTCCTACGGCTATCCCCTTCTTCTCCGCCTCTGCCTATTCCCCTTTCTTCTCCGCTAATACCGTCTCTTCGTCGTTCCTCCTCTTGTCCCGCCCCTCCCCTTGTTGTTGTTCTTCTATACCGTTCGTCCATTATATTTACCAAAGGCACGCCTCTTTATAGACCTATTCTTAGCTCATTTTTCTTTAAAAAGGCATGTTATTTTCCAGTAAGTCATTTCCATTTGTCATCATCTCAATCTTTCATTATAACGGTCGGTCGTGTGACATTGCACTTCTTATCTTAGCGTTTTCTAATAGCAAACATAACAATATACATCTGTACAATCGTGGCGTTTGTGTAAACGTAGAGAACGTACGTTCCGATTGAAAGCCCTATCTTTTATCTTCCTTGTAAGCACGGCTCGGACAAAGCAGCGACAAGACTACAACCTTGAAAAACACACAACCATCACCTACGGTCACTTAAACAACGATTAAGCCGTTTCTTCCACTCAATCAACTCGGACTCTCCTTTGAGTTTAAATGTTTACACAAAGCTGCGAGTGTCATAACGCGGCCATCTTGTATTACGTCACAAAACAATGCCGCCATCTTGACGTTACGCAATGCCACTTTATGGCTCTGTTTGTTCAATTACAGCGCCCGTTTCCTCGTCAAAACGTTTGTTCCCACGTTAAGTATTGTTCGGTGACATAACCCATCGGCTATCACATTTGTCCAAACTGCTCTACCCCACCTGAAGCCTTTAATCATGTACATAATTTACCTTAGTTCGCAAGGTTGTGTTCTGCGTTGGCTGAGCCGGGGTTATTTGCGATTACATGCTAAACGATTTGGTACATTTGCCCGGGCGATTATAAACACCCCCAGCAGTGTAGGTCTGGCTGGTGTGGCGTTCACAGGATTACCAAGGTCCTCAGCTATAGGATCGATTTCAAACCCATCATTGTCAATTGCAGTTGAAGTGACATGAAGCAGGTGCGCTAGGCCCACATTTCGTGCATACTGACATGGATTTCAATTCTGACATCAGGGTAAGTTCACCTACGATCATGGATTAACACAGTATATCAGACCTTTTAAAAGTCGGCTTCACAGACTATAAAAAAACCGACTCAGGATTATTTGCACATCAACTGTGAAACAGCAACCATTGTTCTTAGCACAAACACACAGGCACACACATAGGCAGAGGGGCACACAGACACACGTACACAGAGGTACACACAGGCACATACAGACACACACAGGCACATACTCACATAGACACATACAGACACACACAGGCACATACTCTCATAGACACACACAGGCACATACTCACATAGACACATACATTCAAAATTTACATTCAGCTTAACGCAATAAACAAGAAGTTGTCATCCAAAAGTTGTATGTTTCATTTTCAGAATGAACATGACTAATTGTAACTGTTAGTTTAATATTTAAACTAAACACACAAAACTAAGTAGTCTTTAGTCACATCACTACCTTGTATCTGAACAAACAATGCTAGTAGTTACATACATTATACCACTACCATATACACTGTAGTATGTGGCAATAAGAACCTATCAATCATGTCAATGTAAAAATTATCCAATCCGTTCACATAAGTTTATATCCCTAAGCAAACGTTTTACGTGAAAATATCAGTGTGTCACAATGCTTTTTCTACATGAATGTATAATAATTGTTGATGTAAATATCCTGTTGTAATATGTATTTGTATGGGGAGAGACATTACTACAGGGGAAACTCTGTTTGTCAATCCCGCTGTACATGCCTTAAGTACAAGAATAAGTATTGTTTAAACCATATACCACTAAACAAATTCCTGACCACCAGATTCTTACCTATTACCATTGTTAATCTATCGGGACGTTTCTGAGATAATGGAAATAGTTTGACATGTTAATTATTTGAAGATGCCGAATGTTATTTTGTAACCAGCATCACCCCGCCTAGTCTGTCGTACAGACCCTGAAGCAAATATATCCAAGAAAGCCCACACAAGTCTAGAAAATGTGGCAAGTCTAGATTTCCTCAGCTTCAGGAAATGAAGAAAGTCTCAGGGCTCCTTTTCATTATATATATATTTTTTTTACTATGAACTTTTTTCAGTGAAATATGTTCATTTCAGAGACTATTTGTTAGTCGACACCCCGCATATAAATATGGTTCCCTTAGTGGTCCTCTTATAAGGTCTTCTAGACTAACAACTAGTCTCTGAAATGAACATATTTTCCTGAAAACAGTTCATAGTGAAAAAAATATATATAATGAAAAGGAGCCCTGAGACTTTCTTCATTTTGCTGAGAAATCTAGACTTGCCGCATTTTATAAATATGGTTTCCTAGGTGGTCCTCGAGAGACTAAAGGTCTTCATACAGTGGGATATTGCATCTCGATACCACTCAGTTGTAACCACAAACATGAGCATTATTTTCGCCCCAATGTAGCAAGCAAGTTCACAAACTGATGGAAATAGTCCCAGTGCGCTCCTTGATGCTATTTGCTGTTCGCCTTTCCATTCTTTTGCGTCATGGACAGACCCATAGTTGATGCACAACATCTATATACAGACAGGGCCGCGTCACCGCTCGCCTCCATTCAAGGTCACAGTTAGCTGCTGTGCAAGGTTAATTTACATGGGGGTGAACTTGGAGTGTTACCCATCTTTGTTCCCTCGACAATACGGACACCCCCTCTTTCGGACTGAGTGAGTGAGTGAGTTAGTTTCACGCCGCATCGACTTTCGGACAAAGGCATGGGATAGCGTAAAGGTTAAAGCGATTGCTCGTCACGCTGAATCTCGAGATTAATTCTGCTCAGGTGTATATTGTGTGTAGCCCGTCCCTCGTCTAGATATTGAGGACTATTTGAGGCATAAAACATAATTCACTCAATACATACTCTCAGTATCCTGGGTTTCTATACAAATTGTGTGAATTCGAAGTCCAAATTGACTCTGTTGGGGGATGCAGAGAAATGACTCATTCAAAAATCATATTTCTGTGTCAAGATCCTCATCTTACAGCTAACCAGAGTGATTCGTAACATAATTATGGAAGTGCTCACAGAAAGTTACATGATGTGAGTGAGTGAGTGAGTGAGTAAGTTGCTTTTAGCAATAGTCCAGCAATATCACGGCAGGGGACACCAGAAATGGGCTTCACACATTGTACCCATGTAGGGAATCGAACCCGGGTCTTCAGCGTGACTAGCCACGCTTTAACCACTAGGCTACCCCACCGTCCCGTTTCAGTATATGGGCATTGAAATGTAATTATACTCTCCCATATAAACAAATGCCATCTTATCGAACAAAGGTTGTCCATACGAAGTGACAGGTTTCTTTCCATTTCTTGAACACCTGGTGTTCAGGTTGATTTTCATCTCTCAGTTCTTATTATTTGCACTGTTGTGTAGGCTTTCACGCCCAATCTCTTCTAGCAAATATGTGTGACTGATTATTGTTTTGTCGTTGACAGTTTATGTTGGCTTGGGTTTTGTGTGTTTTGTTAAGGATTTTGTTAGGGGTGGGGTCTCAACAAAGTGAGCCGAATTTGGCGTCTTGGTCCATGAGGTCACATGGTTTGTTGATACAATTTAATATACCTCTGTCTTTATACTCCAGTGATGTGCTTATCGAATCCACGATCTACCGTATCAGATACGAGTAAATGTGTGGTCTGGAATATTTTCAAACATTCCATTCAAAATAATTTTAGTCACATAATCAGCAATCAGAATAATGACTAATTTAAAACGCCCACTAATTCCGCTGTTAATAAGAGAGAAAACACATTCACACATTAATTGTCCGATACAATCGGTTCCATTGTTCAATGTCAATACTCTAATTAATGCCCGTTACCAAAAAAACATCGACATCGCCGAAGTATGAAGGAGAACTAATTTGACACGACCCTAGCGGTAATAGTCTTATGAGTAGGGGGAGATAACTCCTGATTGGCCTATTGTCTATTCGGTGTCTGAAAACAAACCATTTGCTGGTGTAGTCTCAACCATTGCTTCACCAGTGTACCGGACAATGGTCGAGATACTCATGCTTAACATTCCGGTAGCCTATCGTACAGATTGTGCAGGTCGTGACAGAAAGGGCATGTACAGTAATATGCACGTTTGTAACAATGCCCACATTGTAGTCCGCTGTTTGCTAATCCGAGAATTAACACCCCTGTGTTGTAAATCCGATCTTGCTCTTAATACCCTCAACGCTTCTTAGCGGATTAACGACTTGAAGACATGAATAGGGATTAGTAGATTACAGCAATGTCAAGTTGTAGCAAGTTTATAAACATTGGGTTTGTCAAGCGGTCAGAAGATGTGGTGGCAGTTCTTGCTGACCTTGTCCATGGTCACTTCACTTGAAGAAGTAGGATATATTCATATTGACGTAAGTACCTTTGTGCCTTTGCATCTTGTAAACACGTTCATAAATATAGATCTTGTATAATGTATATCATAATGTGCCGATGTATATTGTTGGTGTATTGTTATATATAATTATGTATTGGTCAACCGGTCTCTGAGGTTTTTGAAATAGGATATTGATAAGGGATTGTTTCTCACAGAACACGTGATAGTGATGTATGTTACTTCTTCTGATAGTTTCAGTACCGTTACTGGTCCTGAACCTAAGAGGTTTGCAAACATTACCCAACTTGATTTGCCTTTTTACATTTTGATATCCGCACAGTCACACGGCGTGTTTATTGCTCCTCTGCCAAGTGCAAGGCATATATACCTGAACTTTTACTAAGGACAACACCTTTGCCTGAAGTTGACTATATAGGTGTCAAGCAAATGTTGAGTTAAAAGTGGCTCCGAACATCGTGTTTAACAAATAGAAAAGTTGATATACCAACTGTTTATGACGCAAGTTCGTCTCTTCTAAATGTCCCTCAAAGAACTCAAATGTTCTGATATCATTTTTTTCTTAGACGGGACCGATCAGTTTATTATTTTAACACAGGACATCTAGCATGTCTGAAAGCTATTTACTTTCGTGTATGTAAAATTGGGGCATCCAGAATATATTTAATGTTATAACCTCTGATTACTATCACAACACCTGTATGCAATATATTTTGTGTATATCGCGCTACTGTTGATACAGAAGTTATAAAGTTGTATGTTGTACGTGAATGTGATGCAGAGATATGTTGTTTAGTGGAGTCCACATAAACTAGTGATTCCAGATTAAAGTATGTGCGTTTCACTCAGAAAAAAATGTCTGAAATCCTTTCAATTATTAATTCACTATTATTTCTCTATGTGGTGCCACCCGGAGCCTGATACGTACACATGTATCTTTAATAAGAAGTTAAATCATCCGAATATCTGTATTATCGTTAGAATATTAAATAACTGTGGGATCATCAAACATCATAAGGGTGCCTGGTCAAGCGGGTGGTGTTTTTACCATGAGCACAGTAGGGCGGTTGTTCGATTTTTGCTTACTAAACCCAGAACACGTTAGAAAATAGCATGTGTTGTTACCTGCCTGACACTAGAAGATACTCAGCCATCACAATAAGACTGACTCCAGCAGATATACACACCCGTATGAATGCATGTCACTACATAAGTTGAATAATCTTGAAAGCGACGTTAAACCCTATTTTATACACCAACGTCACCCTTTTCATTCATCCCGACATCCGCTCAGCTATCAAAAAGCCTCCACGATGCATCAAAAAGTCACCAATAACACAAGACGAAGCTGTCTGTAGTTACACCGCATTTAAGATGTTGTAAACACTGACTGTCAACTTGACAGAACACGTTGATGACCTTTCAACAACTGTATCAAAATGGCGTCGCTCTCTTTATTCCCTCTTTTGCGCATGGTCGGTTTTCACCCAGCATGCCTTGCGACGCGCTGCTTCTTTTATCTGAATATGTTGTTAATGTGTCGTGTCTCTCTGTGGGGGTGAATTTATGGCAGGAAAATGGCGTAATTCAGAAAAGAATTCTCATTACTGCTGTTCAGAAAAATGCCGCT